GAGTCATATGCTTGCTATTTCAGTACGTGAGACTTTTTGTCACATAATAATCCTACCTTGACGGCTATAAATTTTTCTAATTAATGACCGCCACGGTATCGAAAGGAGCAGATACTTTCGCTAATTGGTATCCCAAGAATATAGACCTTTTTTATCTCTTTGAAATTTTAATTCGTGACTCATCGTAGCTTTCATTCTTGATTCATATACGTGAACTATATCTAACAGGATATATAATATTTGCAACTTATGAAATATCCAATTATATTTAATTGCATCGAACGATTTTACAACGGTAAAAGACACGATATTAATAATTATTATATCCTCGATTTCTACGTAAATAGGATCTAATCGGCCGCAATTTATCTACAATTTATCTAAAATATTTATCATCGTAACAGCTTATTTTTTTTTTTTTTTTTTTAATGTTTAAAGAGAGAGCCGGATACAAGATACATATTTTATTTCATATTGAATATTTTATTTCACATTGAATTCAATTATACATTCTGGAATTTATTATCTGTATCTCATTACCTCGAATAACTTTTAATTGCCATGTAACATAATGTTATCAAGAAAATGGAAAAAAAAAAAAGAAGAAAAAAGAAAAAAAAGAGAGGAAACACTAATTTTTTTTTTTTCCTTATGGAAATTAGATTCAACGCATTTGCATCGAAATGAAAAATATTTCTTTCAAAAACGTAAACAAACTTTATAGAGAAATACCGAGTGTATAAAATTATCTCCATTTAATTATTTAACAAACAACACGATGCAAATGAGATAATTACATGTGCTACGTGTAATCAAAATTTAATATTATCGCATAGCATATTTTATCATCCTTGACTGAAACAGATAAGCAAAAAAAAAAACAACAGTATTTATAAACTGATCTATCCACTAAACTAAAACACCTGATCTTATTGCTCTGATCTTTCGCTCATACCACCTTTCTTATGCGAACAAAATACGCAACGCTTGTTCCTTATTTTCTCCATGTTTCCGTCCCCGTTCCGGTTATAGTGGCTCGTCGCAGCCCAGATCGAGTGATTACGCGAATCCTCGACTGCGAATAAAATGCGTATAATTGCGGCAAACTGTTCGAACGCAGGCAATAATAACACCCTCGAGATACGAGCACGGTTTAATATATTCATTTCGAGACACGTTTGACAATTAAAAAGGCACGCTTAGGTTTCCTCTCCATACCGATGGGAGACGACTCGCTAGACCAGGGTCTCCCAGTCAATTTTTCGAGTCGAGACCCAACATCGATTCCAATATTTCAAAGTTATTGATATATTTCTGATAAAAAGAATCCCAACTCTGTACGACGTTTGAAAAGAAAATGTTCGAAAAGAATAGAAATTGTTAGCTAGAAAATAATATATATATATATATATTCTGGGTCTTTTTTTTCCGAGGTTTTACAAAAACAAGTTGAGGATCACTGAGCTAGGTGATCAAAACGTGGCCATGTTAATCATAAATATAAGTGTTTATGGGAGTAACCGTCTCTTACTTTAGCGAACTTGTTCGCTGCTCTGTTTAATATGCCGTGCGTGTTGGAATGTTTTAGAATGGAATCGAGGCGATAAGTTTTCGAGAAGAGAGAGATCTTCTCGATATCGATTCTAATAATTATGGTTAAATTAATAAAACGATATTCGATTCATTATATTATAATTTTATTCGAAGAAGATTTTATTGGAAAAGATTTAGATTTCCATTTATATACACAAATGAAAATGCTCTACTTCGATGACAGATGAATCTCACTCGTTTCCACTTTGCTTTGTTAATCTTTGATCCGTTCAACGGATGAAAAATTTATTTGATAATAGCATTCGAAAGTTATATTTGGAATTTTATTCGATTAATTATACGCATTTTGCATAGAATTAGTTGTTTCTATATTCAAGAGTGTAGGCTTTCTTGCAACCAATTTGCAGTTATAAATTCGTACGTTTATTTATGTCGAGAGTTTCGTTTATATATATTATACGACTATTCTTATTTTTCGCAATATTTAGTTTCGTTAATTTACACTTTGAGATGTATGTGATTGACGATCAATCGGTAGTTTCACAGTCGTGAATCTTTCATCGATTTTCAATTCTGCTTTTCGAAATTATATTTAAAACTATTCTCTTATTAGGAAATTTCTATTATATATATTAGGAAATTTCTATTATTCGATGAATCGAGTAATTTTTGTGTTATGGATATACGGAGAATGAGGTTGGGAATGCGCTCGAGATATGTAGATACGCGTGTTAAATGCGGCCTCGCCGCAAGTTTGGATACGGGCACGGAATATCGTTGAACAGCACGCAACCAAGAGTTTGTATACCTTAAATAGTCCACCCTAATTCCGGCCAACGTCTCTATCAAGAAGGACTACTTGGAATTAATAGATAGCTCAGAAATGCCTCGGCTCTCACAACTTTGTCAAATAGTTCCACTATCATATTGTATTAGTTTGAAATAACTTGGCGACTCTTCCACAAACAATTTCAACCTTCGTATTTATAATTCGCGTTAAATAATTTCTTCGAAATTTTTTTTTTTTTTTTTAGAAAATTTCATTTCCAAGCCTATTTGATTGAGAATTTTTCCTGAAATTATTAGCAATATCTATCACAATTCCTCACTTTCCACAAAAATAAAATAATCTTCGTTGCAATCTACGCATTCGAAGAATTCACTAATTCGATCGAAAATTTAATCCCGAGTAGTACTTCGTTCTATCTTTTCTCATAATTAAATAACGTAAAAAAAAAAAAAAAGAAAAAAGGAAAAGATGAAATAGAAATTAAATAATTACAAAAATATATTTATCTTCGTTTATCAAAGATCGATCAACAGCGGAACCGCAATCTTGTTTACTCGAGATTCGATAATCAATGTGTACCGAGCATACGTCGGCGAATCCTCGTGTAATTAGAAGAGCAGATGCTGGCAGGAATTATTAGCGAGTATTAAGCGGTACCGCGACGCATCGGACACGGAATATCGTCGAGGCTCACGCGAACCGAACACATATCGGGTCTAATGCGAAGCTACATCTTCATTCGAGCCCCGACCCTCAGCCCTTACCCTGGTCGACTGGGTAAACAGCGAATTTGCTCCGTATATGTCGTGTACCGGGCGTGTACCGGCTGTCAACAGCCTCTATTTCCATACAGTAGCCGTGTTCCAGCATTTTATAGACTTGTATGATGGTAACTTTAAGTATGAGCGCGTGATCCCTTTTCATTCGTATTGTATACTTTTTATGGAAAGGGTTCGATGAGAAAAAGAAAAAAAAAAATTGCAATAGATATTATATAAATATAATAGTAAATAAAATCGATAATTTAAAGAAATGTAATTTTTTTCGAATGAAATTAAGGATAGATTTGCAATTTCTTTGGAATTTTATTTCTATTTTGTAAATTCAGAGGTATTTTTTTTTTTTTTTTTCCTTTAGAAAACGTAGATATCAGGATAGAAGGGATGACATAACGAATATATTGCAGGAAATAATTAATGTTAAAAATAAGAAAAATTGATGCAGATATGGCACGTAATCCTATTTCTCATTTGTATTTCAAACTATATATATATATATGTATATTTAAGGAACACGCACTTACTTTATATTACTGCATTCAAAGGTAATCACTTAAAATAATGAACTTTTTATTGCATGAAATGTTTCCCTTGATACGTTCATGAATTATGAATGTTGTTAAGCGGAAAGGTTCGTGTGTTAAGAAAAAGTCTACTTAACTTCAAAGTTATGACTTTGAGATTAACATTTGATCGAAACTATTTATGAAATGGTAATTAAAATAAAGTATTTTTTTCCGTGAGAAACTTTCAAATTAAAAACAAAACAAAAATGCGCTCTCGAAGAGCCATCGAGGGAATTAGATAGAGAAAAAAAAAATTAAGGGAAAATTATTCGACCAGCGTTGAAAAAAAATTGTAATTTAAACTTGGCTCATAGAAGAGAGATGGGAGGGGGGGGGGAGTGAGGGAGGTGAGGAAAAAAAAAAAAAAGAAGGCGAATGAAGAGGCGGGGCACACCCCTCATCGCCCTTGTCGTCGACATCTCTGGCACCGCATTTAGCGTTCATTAAATAAACCGCCCCTTCCGTATCCACCCTCTCCCGTCTGTCTCAGCGCACGTCACTCACACGGTACAAAGTTTAATTGATCAATGATAAAGTTTATCGATCATTTCGAATTCATTTAACTTCGGTATTAGTTTATAGCGCGGGCAAGACGTGGCTTGGACGGTTATACGTGCATAGCTCACGAGTGTGCCACCCTTGTGAATTGCGCGCGCTTATGCGGGAAGAATCGACAAGAATTTTCATTTTCCCGTCATATTTGAATTTTAACAAACTTCGAGCGAACGATCCACGAAACTTCGATTAACTTTTCGATTAACTAATTGGAGAGGATATCTCGATATTTTTCATCTTTAGTGTATATACTTCGATACTGCACGATAATAAATCTAATAATTCGAGACGTAGAGATCTCTCGTCTTTTCGGTATCAAAAGGCGAATAAGAAAAGGGAGAAAAAATAAAAAAGAAACAAAACAATTTACTTCTAATCAGCCCGATCCCGTCCGGGAAGCGGTCGAAAAAAAACCCTCCCCCCTCAAAATCGATTAATTCGCGAAGATAACCGAGGCTTGACTGGACCGGCCTCCCTCCACCCGTGCCTCGACAACATCCCTCATTCAGCGGCTCTTTCAACCGGCCTCCCTGAAACCGCTCCCTGACGTCCGCTGCCTGTATCCCCTCCCTCCATCTCGCTCCATCCTCCATCGAAGCCTCGGCCTCTTTCAATGAACAGGGCGAAAACTTGGCCTGAATGCCTCGGCCGCTCTGATATTAGTTAATACTTAATTCAAGGCGGAGATCCCCGCCTCAAAGCCCCGCCATCGCCCTTTATTTCAAATCTATCGCGCGCAACTTATATTTTCATTAGCCTTTCAGGGGCCCCGTAGGGGCCAAGGGCTCCGTTCCACCGTTCCACCTGTGCCATTTTCTTCTGCCCTCCAACAGCGCGCCGCAAAGATCCGCACACCCACGCGGGCCTCAGCTGCGCGTACGCAGACGCCTTTTTATTTCGTTAGCGGATTTGCGGAAGGCGATCGCTCGCCAAGAGGAGCCGAAGAGCGCGGCGTACGTATTTGTGGTGTATTTGGGATGATCGGCGAAAAGGATGATTCGAGAGAGATGGAATTGTGATTTCGAGAGTTTACTCCGAAGAGGATCTTCTTTTGGTATCTTAGAATTTTTTAATGATAGAAATAAAAAGGCGCAATAAAATATAATATATTATATTTAAAATATAATATATTTATATTTAAAATATAATATATTTAAAAATAAATAAATAAAAAGGCGCAAATAGCGATAATATATTTAATATATTCAATATATTGATGTTTGATTGATTTTTGAAAAGATAAGATAAATTTTTAGTTGTACTTCTATCTCTTAATCTTTGATTTAATAGATTAAATAAATAAGGTGTATTTATTTTCGTTTATGAAAAATTCAAATATGAAAATACGCGAGAAGTGGACGTGGTATCAAAGATATACAAAAATTCGAAAATTGTTGTGGAACGTTATCGTTTCTCTCGATCGAATAAGAAGGAAAAGATTTACATCGCGCATTTTTAATCGTGGTATTCAGTTCCACCTTTTTCCATACTTAACAACAGCGGTAAATAATTAGAGACAGAGCGAGCAACAGCCCCCTTATTGCCCTATAGAAAAATTCTTTCAACGTTTCAGCATTCAACAATTCACCACTCTCGCATCCATTATCACGCGCAAAAGAATAAAGGAAGCGTGGTATTTCCCTCTAAAACTCCGTCACCTTGTGCGAAATATATGCACCGATTTTACCATACAAAGACACGCTTCCCTCCAAGAGGTAGAGGGTTTCAAAGCTTGGAATCGCATAGGAAGAGGCGTAATTCCGGGTAAACGATATTCAAATTCAGCGCCGGCATTGTCGGGCAAATTAGTTGTAGCTGGCTGCCACCACTTTTGACGTACCGCTATTCACCCGCTATTTTGTCATTTCAAAATAGCCAACTTCTCCACGGTGGACAATTTTACTTGTGAAACTTCTCGAAATGTACATTGTGTCCACCGCATTAGAATTCGTGCCGGAAGACAGCCGTGAAATAGAGTCGGCCAAATAATCCAAAGATTATTATTTATGATCATCAAATGACGACCGATCCATAAGCATACTAATTTATTATTGATCGTTTTCAGAAACTTGGATGGAGGCGCCCCCCTTCCCAACTTGGCCAATTCCCGCCTTTTACTTTCTCCTCTCCCGTATCCGCCTTTTTCGTCTCCACGACGCGACGTTTCCTCTTGATTGGAGGGCCGCATGTCGTGAGACTCGTCTACGTCGTCTTTGTCGTCGTCGTCGTGGTGGATTTCGTTCGCGGATCGTAATTCACCTGCTACTGGAAATCGTTAACAACCGGGCAAAATGAAAGGCGCAGGGACATCGAGGAAACGTATCGGTTTGGATCGGAAACGAAGACGAAGCAGGAAGTAATTTTTCATTCCGATCTTATTTCTCTTTGATTTTGATTCGCGTTTCGTGAATATTGTTGATTAGAGTTTTAGAGCGTACAACAAGAGAATGTACATTTAGAAAAGGAATTGATTCTGACTGTTTCAATTTTGCAATAGAATCGTATTTTTATTCTAGTGGATGGAAGGAAGCGATACTTGTAACATGTTAAGAGGATACCGAGCTTACATCGAGAAATGTACGCTATTAAAATTTTAGATTTTTTTAGATTTCAAATTACAGATGGAATGTTAGATAAAATGGTACACAGGTATAATAGAAACGAGAATTGAACGTGGGCATAGATGAAATCAATTCGATTCAATATGATTTAAAGAATTACATGTAATATGCAAATCTTTATTTTAAATTAGACGTAGAATAATAAATTAAATAAGATGTATAAATATCTAATCATAACTAATTTGAAATTTTAATAACTATAACCGTTATTTGACTGAAAATTTCCATTTGATATTTAGAATCAGTTTACGTAATTTTATGTGAGATTATATATAAATATTTCTATATTTTCAATGTATTTTATAATTCAACTTTCTTACAAAATAACAAAATATTTTAACATTTAATATTAGATAGAACGATACCTGTAATTTTAGAACGTTGTGCAAATGTCTATTAATATTCATATTACAGATATTCCTATTAATTCAATGTAAAATAAAATTACATAAACTACTTATAAAATCGTACAATATTCCATCTATTAACATTTTTAATCAATAAATTTCAAATTGGTCACAAATATTTCCAATATATATATATATATATATATATATATATATATATATATTATTTTTTGTACACGTGAAATTACTTACGAACGCCGTTGAAGAAAAATAGTGCAATGATCAAAATACATATATAAAAGTGTGATCGAGGCTCAAAAACCGATGCGATTCCTTACAAGTACCGTCACGCAACGGTACCTATCGCTATCTATTAAATTGTCACCATCGAATCAGCACCGGCGAAAAAAAGCCATCCCGTCCTGCGCACCTGCCAGTAACCATCAGATCCCAAGAAACGACGATAAGGAAGGCCGGCTATCCGCCGATATCTTTTTTGCGATATCGATTTTCCAGCCAGGTCTCTTCTTCATTCATCGAAACCGCCATGTTCTACCAGTTTTACCTCTTAACCCGGCAACCGGGCGCACCGATCCCGAGAAAACAGTTCCATTCCATACAGCTCGCCATAAAGAACACTTGGACCATAACAGAAGGCAACAGCTTCAGGAATTAGCTCCCATTCAAGTTTCCTCTTTGCCCCGTGTATGGCATTATGAACATTCGCGACGTCACGATTATGAACACCTTCCGCTCCGATACCGTTGCTTTTCTTCATCCTTGTTACATACCGCTGCCACAGGTGTGCATCGCTCATAAACTAACGCCTTAGTTGGATCATCCGGCTAATGCACTCCCGTGATAAAGATACGTAATATTTGGAACGGCCTTCCTTCTTCGTGTCTGCACCTCCTTTTTTCCCCTTTCTTTTCTTTCCTTTCGATGTATCTTCCATCTCCACTCTATATTCTCTTTTTCCTCTAATCCATTCGTTAAATATTCATAAGCGTATCGCAACTGTTTCTTTCGAAAGGAATCGTGATGCAAGGTAAGAGACGAAGAAAGATAGATCAACGGAGGGGAGTTGCTCGTTAATGGCTCGCGGTCGTGGAGCAATAACGGTACGATTAAATATCGTTCCTTTCGATGAATCGTTGCACGTCCCGTGGTAACGGTCGGTTTGAGCGCGATCGGTGAACCGTTTTATATTGTGTATTATATCGTATATCTTGGACGAGATTTCGTTCATTTTGAAATTTAAATAAACTTAAACTTTTTTTGTTTTGGTTGAATGGAGGAATGGATTTGAAATCGAGATGCTTTAAAACTATGAGAATCGAAACGAAAGATATATTAGTTAAAACTTCTTCTGTTAGAGTGTCTCTTTTAGTTTCTTTCTTTTTTTTTTTTTTTTTTGATACGAAACGAGTATATGATTGCGTTTTGCTCTATCATCTTACATCTCTCAGAAAGTCTTATTATTGTTCCCTCTTTCCAAGATTTTTGAAGTTTATTTACAAAATATTGCTCGAGATTTTTATTTCGCTTGCTCAAAGTATTTCGATAACTCAACAAACAGGGTTTCCTTCCAGAAAAAAAGAAAAAAAAAAAAAAGAACCACATTCCACGTTCCACGTTTCACTTTCCAAAACGATAAAAAATTCTTTACAACCCTCTCCTCTCCACGCTCCGTCTCCGAACGAAGAGAGATAACAGTCTCAAAGATGGAGAAGGTGGTCAGTTCACCCATTTAACCCACATCCGGCCAGCTTCCACGTGGGCCAGCTCGGTGAATTATAGGAGCTCGCGTCGAGACGTCAAATCACGCCCATCCAGGACGCGTTTCTGCTTCCAAAAGGCCCACCCCCAAAGGGTTGGCACCTACCTGGGCGTGAAAGATCCTTCCGAGATCTCGTTCTTAAGGGTTCCCACGAGCCAGCGTCACTTTTACGGGCCACGCATTTACCATGTTAATGGGTGGATCCCCTTCAACTCGTTATGGAATTATCATCGGCTGTCCCCAAAATGCGATGGCTCAGTCGCCGTCTATCCCCTTCTCGTCGGTGCTTATCTCGCGCCGTGACCAAGTATGAGCACCAATTATAATAAATACCAATTAACAGGGCGCAGGCGCCATTACCGTTGAAAACCTGTTCCAGGGCTGCTGCATCCTGTTGACAAACGGCCGGTTCCTACGCACAATCCACCGCTTTGACGCGAGCCGGCCCTCCTTGCTTTCCAGATTGAATTAGTGCCCCGCTGACTTTATATTCGGCCACTTATGTGGTCCGCTTATTTTTCCAAGATTTAATTCGAAGATGTATAAGAAAGGAGATTTTGTTCGATTTATCTTACGTTTGTCCTATATTCGATAATAACTTAATTTCTCCGAATAAAGATACAGGACAACGAGATGAATTTTTTAAAATACCATTTCAATAGAATATATACGTACACGTACACTAATTGGTAGATCTATCGTTTCGACAATTTTCGTACTCTTTACTACCTAAACTCTAAAGCAAAATTTTCGATAAATTTTTTTCATCAAAATGCGAATCGACGATTTCAACAATCTCTGAGAAACGATTGAGAAGGTCATCGAGAGATCCATGCCCGATCTATCGATATCCATAACCATACTTGGCCAATTCGATCCTTCAGACGGAAGGGGGCACGGAACGTGGAGTGGAAAAATTGGCAGACCGCTAACGATCCTTGGATCGTCGGATGATCCGAGGCACAGCTCGGAGGCCGAGCGTCGGTGTGCGCCCGACAGGGGAGGAGGAGGAGGAGGAGGAGGGGAGGGCAAAAGGATGCGGCAGGAGGCAGGACACCCATCACAGTTTACCGCGTGGGATTTCACCGTGGCGTGGAATCAAGCGTGGAAGCCGGGGAATAGGCTCGCAGAGGCAGACAGCCAGAGTGACTTCTCGTTGTCGCAGCATCGGGGATCGGCCTTCGAAACGAAACGGAACATGCGTCACATAAATTGTCTCCCTGTCTGGCCCGGGTGAAAGCTGGATTTGTTACACTTTGCACTCAACCAGGACGTCTAGGCCCCGGCTGATTCCATCCGCTGATGCTGCTCTCCTTCAGGTTAGGAATCCATCCTCGCGATCGTGTCTCCCCCTCCCCCCCTCTCCCTCCTCCTCCCGCTTTTCTCATCCCGGTGTCTAACCCTCCCCTTCACTCCACCGTCAGCCTCATTATCTATCCGGAGCCCTCCTCCCCGACTGTCATCCCGATATGCGCCCCTCTCCCCTTCGGCACCGAGCTCTGAGAGCTGTGCGCGGACTGTCTTCCACGGGCTTGCCACCTGTCCTTTATACCCGGATCCAGATATTTCTCGACCACGGAATCCGGCCGTGCCGGCCTCTGTTATTGACGATCCGGCCCGACAATGAACCGAATACGAACGCTTCACAAACCCTTTCGGGAACCCCCTCTTTACAGAAGAGGAGCACGAAAGTGTCGGGGAAATCGGGGAATTGTTTTGGGATGGATTGTAGCGGGACAGAAGCTTTTTTCTCGAAAACTTCTGGGAGTGTGGATTCCGTCTTTCGTCCCGAAGATTGGTGTTTTTCTTTTGGATCAGGAAGTGCGTCGAATGCGATTAATTGTGCATATCTAAAAGGAAGGAGTTTAGAGGGAGTTTAGAAGGAAGAGTTGGCTAGTTCCATTGTTAGACGATGTGCTCTAAAAAACGATTCTAAAATAAATTCGTTCGATCCAATTCAAGTTTAATAAGATTGCGTTGACAGCGATCGCCAGATCAGAAACTCCACACGATATTTTCGGCGAATTCAGTACACTTATCGTTGAATCGACAGCTCCAGTGTCAGATTTGGCAGCTGTAATCGACGGCCAATATATATTATCAATCGATTCTCTCATCAAACTTAATAAGTTAACAGAAATGCAAAGAGAAAAAAAATCTCTATAATATTAGATCTCGCACACCTAAAATATTCTCAACGAAAACGATATCTCTCCAGTTTCGAAACTTTCTCTCGCCCATCTTCCCACCTTCTCTTCGAATTATTCTCAAAAAAGAAAAAAAAATGGATCGAACACTTGGTTCCAGAATCCAGGGGAGTCGATTGTTGTTGGCGGAGCGGAGGCGAGCAAAGGGGGTACGTAAAAGTGGGTACGCCGGTGTCAACGCTCGTTATGGCGTTGCGCGACGCGGGGTGCTGGGGTTGGCACGAGGGACAACATGCCATATCGGAGACACCTGTTAGTGGCAGCGGCGACCGATGTGGCCTGGACCGGGCTATAAACGTATCGCGGCCTGTATGAATAGGGCTGCGCTCACGAGGAGAGGCATGCAGGGAATTAAAAGCGCGTTGTCATATTATAATCGTATTATGGCGAGCTCGGACCCGACCCCGCAAAAACGGCCATGCCGGCGACGTCACGCCACGAAGGTCGGCCGCCACTCGATGCAGCGTGAACACCTACACTGCCCAACCCTCCTCCCTCCTCTTCGCCATATTGTTCGCTCGCGGAAACAATTTTTTTCTTTCGAACGGGATGATCGATCTTAGGGAAAATTTTATTAAATCGCGACTCGTCATAATTTATTATATTGAAGTAATTCTTCAGATATTTTTCGAATTATCATTTACCACGTATTCTCAAATTCATAATCGCATGCTCACAGTATGGAATCGTATCCGGAAGTTTTTCTTTCGCTTGGTTTGGAAAAGAAAAAAAAAAAAAGAAAAAACCGA